ACTTTGCAATACCTTGGTTTCCACAGTCACTTTAACTTAAACACACGCTATAATTCACAATGATTTACACACTTTACTTATGGCCTGACACGATTATCTGTCTATATCTTCAATCTTTCTGTCTGCTATTCCAGTCCCGAGTCATTGTCTGGCGCGCTTATATACAAGAATAGAGGGCGCGTAGAAAAGACTAGAGTTGCCACGAACAGACATTATCCTTCTAGAATCTCATGACGTGTTACTAGCGTCACGTGACTTCCGCTGTCGTAACAATATTATGTCGCTTCGAAAGCTAAAAGTTTGGAAAGGAGCCGTAAAAACATCCTAGATTTAAGGATTTTGAATGAAAACTTTAACTTTTTTGTCCTTATGAAGTATAGTAATATCTAAAAATAGCTGAACTTTTCACTACAAATAATGGCTTAAATAACGAGAGTTTTGATGAAAAGAGTACACAGAGTTCATCTTTCTAGACCAATAATATCAAAATAAAAGTTATCACAAAATTTAAAAAAATACCCACGGTTTTTATAGCCTTGGTTATTTTGATGAAAAAATAATATTTTGGAAACACGCAAAAAAAAGTTCATAACTTAAAGCGAAATTGAGTGTGAAATCCTCGATTCTTTTTACTTATTTTTTTTTTACAAAAACTCAAGAATGATTTTAAAATAGGCTGTCTCCATTTACCTCACAAGTTACTTTAGCAACCTCCTTTGGCTTTGTCATGTAGCCTATATCTTGATCGATGCAGTACAGTAATGTTTTGTTATTTTCGAGTCCTCAAACAAAACTTGTTTTCTTTTCAGAACAATATGAAATAAACAACTACTTGAAAAATTCACTTAAACTAAGACTTTTTAGCTAAAGTTTCGTCAGCTAGGAATAATATTTGTGTTATTAGAACGTTCGTTATCATGAACCACGATAGTGATCGCAAGGAATTGTACAAAACCCTAACAGAACATTTGGGCAAAAAGCACAATAAACAGTAAAGATTCAGTTCAAACAATACTTAAAAAAACCTTTATTATCGAATGCTAAGGCTATTCACACATAAAAATGTACAAAAAGGCACGCATGTTAGACTTACAAGGAAAAGAAAATCTGCTCAAAACGGCCAGTTTGTAATTCTTATTAATATGATTATTCTCTTGCCAGCCTACAATAAAAACGGCTTGATATATTGCTCACAAATCTTTTGTAGAATGCTAAAAAAAGTACTGCGAAGGTCATGGTAGTATTTAAAAGTTGATTTGTTTCTTCTATATTTAATAAAGCTAAAAAACTTCATAATTCTAGTGTAAACGATGTTACCATATTACTTCTTTAAAAAGCTTAAATACATGGTGTGTTGGATATAAAAAAACTTTAGTTTAAGAGTTACTATTTAGTTTACTTAGCGATTTAATAATTATTTTTCATAACAAGAGTGTTAAAAGTTAATTATTTTAAAAACGACAGTTATGACAAATTTAGTTACATAACTCGGTACGACTAGTACGTTGTGTATGCAGTTGTACTAAGCTTTTGTAATACTGTTTATATCATCATGTGAATTTGTTGCCACTAGAGGGCTAGATTTTTCTGTCGCATGTTATAAATACTTGTAGTCTCAGATCCAGAGTGCAAAGAAGTTAAAGCAAGTTAGAGAAAGTGAAGTTAAACTGTGTGATTGTTAGTTTAGCTGTAACGAGCAATTTCTAAAGTGAGTTTCACTTTGGTATTGTAACAACAGAGATAAAAAAAAAGTAATTTGTGTTGTCAAAGGGTGTTCTAAAGTAATTGAACTCGCCTGTGTGGACTTTGACGAAAATAACACAATTATTTAAAGCTCTGGATACAACTGTAATAACCAATAGTGTAAATAATTTTTATTCACATGTTTGACTTGTTTTGAATATATTATTTTAAATCAAGTGGATTGTGTGCTGTCCATTTATTGGCAACAAGTCACATTGTGCAGTATGCTATCTTAACTACCACTGAACCACCAGCGGTGTTTAACTAACTAAATATTCTAAAAACAGTATGCAAACTTACCCTGTGTGGTATACTTAGGTTCAGAAGTAAGAGAAGCACCACAAGTAACAAGAGGTTTAAACAGAAAAGAATTTACAAGTTAAGCTGAAAATATGACTCAACCAAATTATAGAAATGAAGATAATGTTGACCACTATAAAATCAATCTTTATTTAGAACAATCAGTCAAAATATATGTATACATCTGATGTTTTGAAAAAGAAATATTAGGATAAAGATGATCATCTAGACTGGGAAAATATGGTATTGTGTTATATACACATAAATAATAAAGTAACTTCTCTCAGTGTGTTGGCAGTACCAACATTACTTGTCTCCAATGATAGTCAGGAGAGTTTAATCTCTAGGCATTTCTAAAGTTAAACAAAACAGCGTCTCTAGAGAACCAAAAAAACATTTCTTCATCAACATGTGAAATGTCTAAAAAAAATGGCTTAGTGGGATGATCACCATGACGTTATGTAACTAAACTAAGTAATGCACAAGATTTCCTACATGTGGTTATTTGTTTGTTTTAACACAAAGATATCAGCATTCTATCCACCACAAGGAACTGAACTCTGGATTTTAGCACTATATGTCTGTAAAGTTAATTATAGCTAACTCACCAAAAAAGCTCTTAAACGTGAAAGTATACAAATTATCTAAAAGCGCATATATCTGAAATATTTTTTAAGTTTTAATAAGCCAAGCACTTTAACTTTCTAAACTTAGTGAGAGAGAATGGAAAAAATGGTACTTACCTGAAAGTATCATACTTACAAACCTCAATATCTACATGCAGCTTTCTTGTTCCACAGATTAAATGTGCTTGCAATTGGATTGATATTAATAAAATAACATATCTCAACCTATTTTTGATACTCTATAAGAGTCTTCTTATATTACAGATATTATAAAAGGTCTACATCTCATTCATATATTTAACCCTTAAATGAGTTTAACTCTTCGATCTTATCCTAATTCTGGTTTTCTAACCACAAATGTTTATTAGGCAGCATATTGATATAATTATTTTTAATTATTCATGTTTTATTATCCTTATGGCTTAATTCTTTAAACACACTTTTAAGTCAATAACAAATTATTTAATAATTTTATAACTAATTCTAGTTTTGATATAACAAAACGATTAGTGTTCATGTATGGTAGATTGAATTCTTAAAGAAAATAAAAGTGCCTTGCTAGCAATTGCTAGAGAGTTAACCTTTTGGCTCGGTTGGTAGAGTAACCCCAAATCGATCATGGGAGTAGAAAAAAATCCTTTGGTCCCAAGATAAGGCTTAAAGAAGAGTCTTATTTGTGAGAAGGAAGGAATATGAAACTTTAACCCAAGATAAGGCTTAAAGAAATCTGATTTGTGAGAAGGAAGGAATGTGAAACTTTAAATTGTTTAGAAAAATCCCACAGTAGTAAATGTTATATAGTTAACTCTTAGTTCAGTTGATGGAGCGCTTGACTGGCATAAGAGGCTATGCACTAGGTTTGATTCTGACAAAAGAAACACCAACTGCAGTTATATGTTTTACATTTTCTATCAAATCTTTAGAAATATTTTCACTCTGCATACATCATTAAATCATTGTTAGTTATCATGAGCAACAGTTATTTTATCTTTCTGAATTGCAAAAGTGATTTACTCTATTCAAAGACAATAGTCTTGCTGCAATTTGGACTGCAAAGTAATAGATTCTTCAATTTTTATCTTTGCTGTGTTTTAATTCTGTTTGCCAACTTTTTTATTTTATAATGAAGGTTCTGAGTTCATTCATAAGTGATATTTCAAATAAAGTATCCTAAAACTTATCATAAAACATTTACCAGTTGAAAAGATTAATAATTTCTAATGGATTTTGTCAAATATTTTAAGTTCAAAAATTTCCAGGTGTTTTTGTAAATCAATATCTAAAAAGAAATCACTTTTTATCAAGTTTTTTGTATAAATTAATAAATAAGAAATATTGTATTTCAATACCAACAAATGATTTTTCATTGTTGCAGCCTTTGCAATACAAGAAAACACCTTTAGCATAATTGTTTCACTCCATAACTTGTGTGTAAATTACAATATAGAAGAAACACCAATAATCAGACAAAGTTATACACTCCAGTTACGTAAGGAAATGACATCAAGGATTAGAAGCAAAAAAACCTCATTAACTTCTGAAATGTCATACTGGTGTAGTAATGTTTTGTTTTTGTAGGCTTTGCAACTTTCATGTTCTAGCCTTTCTTGACAGACTGGAAATGCCATCTGTGGCTGACATATCTACAGTCAATATATATATTTTTACTTAAAAACTTGGGACTGGACAATTTTTACATACATATTTTATCAGCTAATAAGTCATTGTTTGTTATTCTTATTTAATCTAAACTCACAGCAGTGACCAAATATTTTAAGATATATAAATGTGTAAACGTTTTCATTTTAAAAACGATAAAATACCTCAGAAATGGTAAAAGTATTAGGAACACAAATACTAGAGACGTGGTAAATGTAAGAAGAGATAACCAACTATGAAGTTTAGGGTTTTAAATGTAATAATTTTTGAGTATGTATTTCTCACTTATGTAATTATCCTTTTTAGCAATTAGAATATAGTAACAATTTAACAAAAATGATTTATGTTATTAGGTAATGATTTAATATGTAAAAAAAAAAGATATCTCAAATCTATTATTAATCAAAAAAGATAATAAATGATATAACCTTTTAAGTGTTAAAGACTTTATGGCATATTTAGATTACCATGAAGAATAAACAAAATCCAAAGAATAAATCAGAATTACCACATATAAATAATTTTATTTCAAAAATTTATAAAAGGAATGTTCCTTATTTATGAGACACAATGAAAAAAATAACTGCTATCAGACTGATACTTAAAAAATGTAACAACCACATATCATCCTACATAAATCAATATTTTTTTAATTTAGTGGAAAAAAAAAGGTTTCAATAAAAAATTTTTATTGTAGTTTTATATATACAGTATTCTAACGACTTCATGCCATTATTCCCACTGAAATTCTTTTGTTAAAGACATTACTTTGTTTATATAATTTATAGTTAACATTATGTATTTTTTAACAATATTTACTAATCACACACAGACAAATTTCTACTTAGTTTTGGTATTGTTACTACAGCATGACCAGATACTGGGAATGGTAATTCTTTACATACATTCCATTTGTCCATGTTAACACTTTTCACCAACACTTCTGACAGTCCTCCTATACCATTTGTAGTTAATCCTCCACATACAAAAATAACTCCTCCTGTATGAAGAGTAATAACAAAATAATGAACATTATTACCTCCCCTGAAACACTTTCTGGTGGTGTTAGCAACACAATTTTTATATTACATGCTTATTTCTTTAAAAAAAATGTAAAGTTTGATTTGTTTCTTACACCTTAAAATATATGTCACACATTTTTGTATATTTAACATATATATACATATAAAATCTTGGATAGGCTATTTAAAAATATTATACATGAGAATAATAAACAACAAACAAATATGTCAAACAAGCTAAGTAGCAGACATAAAAACCTACAAACAAATATATCAAACAAGCTAAGTAGCAGACATAAAAAATCTACAAACAAATATATCAAACAAGCTGTATAGCAGACATAAAAAATCTACAAACAAATATATCAAACAAGTTATGTAGCAGACGTAAAAAATCTACAAACAAGTTATGTAGCAGACATAAAAAATCTACAAACAAATATGTCAAACAAGCTATGTAGCAGACATAAAAAAATTACAAACAAATGTCACCCAAGCTATTCAGCAGACATAAAAAATAAAAAATCTACAAACAAATATGTCAAACAAGCTATGTAGCAGACATAAAAAATCTACAAACAAATATGTCAAACAAGTTATGTACCAAACATAAAAAAATCAACAAACAAATATGTCAAACAAGCTACGTAGTAGACATAAAAAATCTACAAACAAATATCTCAAACAAGCTATGTAGCAGACATAAAAATCTACAAACATATATGTCAAACAAATTATGTAGCAGACATAAAAATTCTACAAACAAATATGTCAAACAAGTTATGTAGCAGACATAAAAAATCTACAAACAAATATGTCAAACAAGTTATGTAGCGGACATAAAAAATCTACAAACAAATATGTCAAACAAGTTATGTAGCAGACATAAAAAATCTACAAACAAATATGTGAAACAAGCTATGTAGGAAACATAAAAAATAAAAATAAAGTAGAAATGAAAAACAAATTCCCTTAACTCTTGGTTACCAACCTCTCCAACATTTAGTACAATAACCTGAAGAAACTGGCAAGCATGTGTGTGTTAAATATAACAAGTGAAGACAGTTATCAGTGTTCATATACTTCGTATCTAAAAGTCCTAAAATTAAGGCATTGTATACTATAATTTCAGTACAGCAAAGTATCTACAGAATACTCTTAAACTAGTGCTATCTTAATTTCCACTTTTTCAATATGTCAACTATTTTTTTTATAAACAAAATAGAAATCAATACCTGAAGTCTTTAGAATATGTACTTAATTGTACTACTTGTTGATCTTGGTAAAATTATTGAAGTACAAGCTTATGTTATTAAATAATTTCAAGAGCATGAAAACTGTAGAAAATGTAATTCATATTTCTTAATTGTATCTTCATGATATGTTACCACAAGATTTAAAAGATAAAACTATTGTGATTAATAAACAAACTTATTTTATCAAATTTGACATACTAAAGATGTGTAAACTGACCAATAGATGAAGCTCCAACACCATGTCGTGGAGATGGTAGAGGCACACAGCTAAACCACTGGTCAGCCTCATCTACATACATAAGAACATCGACTGTGCTACACAAATAAAGATTACCAATATCTTGTGAGTGCTGGATACCACCACCCACAACATGTAGACGACCTTTAGATTCAAGCATAGATGTAAAACTTCTTGGTGAAGGAAGGTAAGCCACATCAGAAGACCAACTATACAAAAAACGATTATTTTAGAATTATAAAACTAACAGTTACCTTTACTTCCTTGTAAACTTACAGTGGTGGCATATTTACTTTACAAAAATCTTTTATTTTCCATTTCGAGGAAACTACATATAAGAAAGTAGGATCAGATTCTTTTCCAAATAAAACGAGAAAGTCGAAAGTTCCTATTATGTACTTTTGCAAAAATATGTGTAGTTTCCCATATCTATGAATTGTTCGTAATAGTTAGAGAAAGCAATCTCATTCAAAGACAATCCAGTCTATAAGGAGAGATGAAAAAAAACTGAAGAAAGGAATACTTAACTCCTTAGGGCTATATCACTATAAAAACTTTATCAAAATAAAAAAAGAAACATTTTGCCCTAGTCACTGAAATTTAGAATACATTACTTTGATAAAATATCTGAGAAAAGTACAAACTTAATGAAAACACTGAAGTTTAATTTGTTGGTTGAAAGTACAGAAGCAAATATAAGAGTAGTTTTCACTTGTATCTTCATTGTTGTTTACTGTAGCCAGAGCTAAAGAAAAAGTCAGCCTAAATGTTTTGGTTAGTAGCAAAATAAAAAAAAAAGAAACAACAACACTGAATGGCTTAGAAATATTAAAGTATTACATGGATCTCCTGTTGTAGCAACTATTAGGATGACTGGACCTTGGACATAGCAGATGGATTTTGATTTGTTTTGAATTTTGTGCAAAGCTACACGTGGGCCATCTGTGCTAGCCGTCCATAATTTAGCAGTGAAAGACCATAGAGAAGGCAGCTAGTCATCACCACCTACCACCAACTGTTGGGATACTCTTTTACCAATGAATAGTGGGATTGACAGTCACATTATAACACTCCCACAGCTGAAAGAGCAATAATGTTTGGTGGGACGGGGACTGGATCCTGTGAATTGCAGATTGCGAGTTCAGCACCCTAACCACCTGGCTATTTGACACAGCAGATTGTCTGACAAGATGCTTAAAACGTGAAATTTTTACAATGATCTTAAAATGTTTTAAATAATTAGAATTTAGTGCTCTTTTCACAATGCACATTTTGTCAAGATAATTCATTTTGACTACTATGTTTTTTTTATCTGATACCTAGTATCTATACAACTACAAATGTGTGATATATGAAACATACCAGGTTTTTTAAACATTTCTTATCCAACAAAATAAAAAAAAGTTTTGCACTTACATGCGTTAACTTGAACATAAAAAGTGCAGATGACTGGCACTGAAAAGAGGTGAGCTTATTTTTGTTCTGATCATACAATGTCATGGTTCATTCCCCTTTGGTACTCCTGAATTTCTCCATGGAATGTGTCACTGGAGAATTCCTTAAAACTCAGTTAATGGGCTACTCAGTAATACCTGTCATACAGGGGCTTAGAGGTATCTAAAGACCCAGTCTTCCTCATTTTAATTAATAAAATGACCTGGAAACGTAGATAATAATTACGCCTCAGGAGACTTTATCCTACTGTAATAAGGGTTGATTTTTACAGTCTTTTTAAGATTTTTTGGTTGATACAAATTTCTCTCCATTAGGGCAAAGGATGTGGCCATCTTTTATCTTTGTGCACATCTCTGATTAGGCTTAAGTACTTTTCTGTGTTTGTGTTCTGTTGAAGAAATAAAGTGTTTTTGTTTCAGTGTGAAATTTGTGTCCAGTCTTTTTCATCAATTCATTCAGGTTCATAATAAGCTTTCTGCCAAATCTCATGTTAGAGTATTTAATATTCTTCCCTGTATAACTATAATGTATTTGAATATATTTATTATTGCATCAGTAAGTTAAATATATATATATAATATATCAAACACTTGTTTCAGTTTTACTGTTTTAAACAGTTGTCCTACTTACACTGATAATGATTAGGTCTCCATACTAATCAAGTATATGTTACCTATTTGAGCAAGAAACATAATTTCAATATACTTGTTTTTGTTATACCATGGTGATATTTATTCTTTGTTGATAAAGAAAATATTTTTCAAATAATGTAACCAGTGTAGTTTACTTCTGTAAAGGATCATAGAAGCATCATCTCAAAAGTTAGAGACTTGGGTGAGGAGTCAAAATTTTGATAAAACTACAGACTTTTTCTGGAACAAAGGCACATTATAATCACATTAACATCTAACTCCAGTACTTAAATGATAGTACTTGTTCAATTTTGTTTTCTAAAAGAAATAATTCCTCAACTACCAGTAAATAACATACTTACTCAGTAGCTGGTGTATAAAAATATGCATTATTTATTATTAGTTATACAAAGGAAACCATATTAACACATAAAAATGTGTATATTACTTACTATAAGGTAAACAAGGGAAACCATGTTAACTCATACAAATGTGTATATTATTTACTATAACATAAACAAGGGAAACCATGTTAACTTATACAAATGTGTATATTATTTACTATAAGTCGGGACTCTAAAAACTAAATAAACGAGGCTGGAAATAGGGACTCTAAAGAAAAGATAAAGAAACTAGGCTGGAAATAGTGTCTACATTAGCTTCTCAAGCTACAAATCCCTATTTTGATTCCATGTCTACAGCACTTATCGATTTTAGTGGAGTCAACAGGTATTTGTAGCTTGAGAAAATAATGTAGACACTATTTCCAGCCATGTTTCTTTACTTTTTTAGAGTCTCTAGTTGTAGGCTTGAAAATTTAATCTCTGCATTTTTATTCAACTTGTTTCTGTACTTATTTGATGATCCCTATTCCCCCCTTTTTAAATTAGCAATTTTTACTAATCTTGTTTCTTAAGTCTTTTATGTACATTTATGGAAAATAAATTTAAGCTACATACATGCATATGCATTCAGCTGAATATTATGTTTTTCAACATTGTTTTTTCCACCCAACCACCACACAAAACTAATGTAGAACAAAGAATACACACACATGTACTGATGATATATAACTACAACAAACAAAATGTAAAGTTGTTCTCAAAGGACCATCTTGAAAACAAAGATTGTATCATCACAGATTTAATGAATGGCTTCCATCAATTTCACACAGTGTTATGTAACAAAAGATGAGCAGCAACAACACAATCTCATCAGAACACAATACTGTTTCTTCTAAGATAATACAACACAGATTAATGCAATGTAAACAGACTCAGTAACAGCCTGCTGTGCACATGTGTTTGCTGGAATAAGATGACACAAATAATGCATGCTAAATAGACAAAAGTGATACACTTTGCATAAGTTGCCAATTATCGACAACATTTACAACCGCTACCTTAACATCAACTATTTAAAAATATCAACAGCTATATGAAATAGTGCTATACTCAGCTGAGTATAAGAAATAGTAGAAAGAATCACCACTGTCATCTGAGTATGAAAATCTACCAAAGTAATTGTCCACTACAATTGTTACTGCAGTAAATATTCCTTGCAATAATTATATAGTGGAGTCATAATATGGATTTGTAACTTGAGCAAACTGTCAGCAATAGATCTCCAGCCTTGCTTGCTTACTTTTTTGCAATCCCTATTTGTACATTTTAAATTCCCAATTCTTGTATGTTGGCTTTTCTACTGCATAAGAATGAGAAAATATATGTCAGTAGTAAGACATAAACCCCACTAAGCACATATAACATGTTACCAGTAGAAAAGCAGTCTTTTCAAATAAATCAAATACATCTAAAACATCACTTCAAATAAAGTTTCGTGTCTGTTAAAGTAATTACTTACTAAGTCAGGTGGCTTTGTGCCTGAAGTTTCATGTAAATATGCGTTGAACATGCATTGAGTACAAGGGCAACTGTTCATAACAACACTGCATCTATTATGTATTTATAAACAACGTAAATAAACTTTCAATGAAAAATAATCAACTTTTAAACAGGTTATGGTTATTCACAACATTTCATATAATATACTTGTAAAATACCCAGCTGTAGGCTTGTGAAACAATAATATTAATAACAATCTGAGCAAATGGGTAAATTTTGATTCTGGATACACAAGACTGTTCATTAATATATTTTGTGAGTTAATATTTCATGATTGTTTAGTTTTTTTTCTTCACAATAACAGAGTTAAAAGCAATTACTTTAAAGGTGATGGTTATGACAAGTTTGGTTATATAACTCAGTAAGAGTCATAAGTTGTGTTTGTAATTCATTGATGTC